AATATAAACTTTGCAAATGTGAAAATAGTATAATATACTTAAAAGCCATAGGTATAACAATAAAAAAACCGTATACATATGTTTTCATAAACAAAATATCCTTTTAGAACTTTGATTAATAAAGCAGTAATTATAATATTTTATATTTAAATATATATTATTGTTTAAAAATTGCTCAATGACAAAATTAAATTCAAAATTAAATTTTTATTTTTGATTTCCTATTTCTCTTAAAAATGCATTCGTAATTTTTATCCGCTTGATAATTTATTTAACTAATTATTAAAATTATTAAAATTTTTGTTTAGTCTTAATCGATTACGTAATTTTATACAAAGTGATCTGAGAAACTAAAAAAAGCAAGAATTACCTGAATTTCATTGCGTTATAATATCATATAAATATTTTAATATTTATTAATCACACATGTAATAATAGGTCGAATTACATATGTTGTGCAATAATGTTCATACAATAACTGTTAAATTTCTGCAATTCTGAAATAAGTCGTCGATAAAAATTTTTAGGAATTCATTAACTATAAATAAAGCACATATATTTTTACCACATCGTCCTTTTTTCCTCCTCCCTTATCTTGTATCTTTTCTCCACTACTCTGTCTAATGCCGAGAATTTTGTTCCAAGATGTATCGGTAATTGGAAGACACTTTTCAATTGTTCTTTAGTCTCATCGCTGGATGCACGAAACCATCATAAGTCCCTATACAGGTATAAGCTAGTCGAACTGAAGACAAAATCTTTCCGTGGCATTATGCGAATAATTTTCTGCAAACATTTAAAGGTGAAGTCGAAACGTTCAGCTGTTGATAAACATGGAAGACGAAAATGTGATGATTAAGCTGAACTGACAAAGGCATTGAATAGAGATATTACATGTAGAAAGTTATAATTTATTTTACAATATCTCATCAAAATCAAATGAAATTCTACTTAATTGACATTAAATTTATTTGACAAATAATTTGCAAGTCAATAATTTATTTTCTAACAATTCTTAATTTAATTTTAAATTTGTTCAATATATACGATAAAAGATTAGCAACAATGTATTTGAAGGATTATTAAATTTTTTTTAAGGAAATATAAATAAATTGCTACATTACTGGAAAAAATATGCGATAGAAAGTATTTTATAATTTTTTTCTCGCTTTAGTCTTTATAAATATTCTTTATAATGTAAACTTTATTATGAAATTGAAAATCTTTAATCTGAAAGTAGATAGAAGAAAGGGAAATAATTAAAATTCTTTCAGATATCAGTTAGTTGACGTCTGAGAATCGATTGTTAATTTATTTGATACATATATAAATATATAGAAATTAATAATAATTAAAAGACAATCGAAAAAGAAATAAAAAAATGGACAAAATTTTAAATAACAATATCCGAAAGATATTGTTATATCTGCCCATGTTTACTAATATATCTATATAAGAATTTCGAATTATTGTGTGTATTAAAAAAGTATAATCAACACTAACTGTCTCGAATTAAAGCACATAATTTTAGAATAATTAAATTTAACGGATCGAAAAACTTGTTAAATAACTATCATTAAGCTCAATTATCCAAAAACTTTATATAAAATAATATAAAAAGTAGATATTTGTGCGTAATAACAAATTTTTTTTATTTAAATTATTTTATTATTATTATTTATTAAATTGTTATATGCGAAGTAAATTGGCGACAGACTTGTGTTATTTTATATAATATTTTTGAATTTACAATTATATAGAATACTTTCCGTAGCCATCGTGGTTTACAAAATGACGAAATTACTGCTTGGGTTGTAACACGTGGACTGAGAGAAATGTTGATATTAGACCAACTTTATCAAATTGATGGAATTATGATAGAAAATTTAATTTAGTGAGAAAAGGACAAGTTTCGTTTAGAATCAGGTGTTCTTGTTTTGATTACTGATTGATTAACGTCGATTCTGCGTAAAAAGCCAACCATATGTATATATTTCTTTTTAACACAAATCGCGAAAATTTCCAAAATAATTTAATTTTGATTTTAATTTCGAAAATTTTCGCGATTTGTGTTCAAAATAAAAAGAATATATACATATATTAAAAATTAATATATTGAACATTTTTACGTATATTCTTGTGATAAAGCGTTTTTTTTTACGGTGTACACCGTAAAATTTGATTTGGTTGGCTTAAAGTTTTCTACTTTATGTGTAAAAATTAAGATGCCGTTGAGATGTCCCACCTTTACCGACCTTTTACCTAATTTTTGCTAGGACTTTCACGATAAAAATTATTGTAAAATTCTTTTAGTGTAGAATTTATAGAAATCTTGTAACAGATGATTTCGAAAAATCGAAACGTTTTGGACTATATATATATATATATCGAGAATAATCAAGAGACACGTTAGTGTCTTGTGCTAAATCCAAAAAAGAAAGAAAAAGACACGCCGTGTCTTTTTACGCGAATCAGGCAGTTGAGAGTACTCGATATTTTCAGTTCTCATATAATTGCTGAACGGATCGAGTTCTAAATAGTCTTAATCGAAAGATTGGGTCTCAAATATAATGAAAGTGTTTTTATTTTTACGCTAATACGTGCTACATAAACAGAGAAATCATGTGCAAAGTCTCTATCGTGAAAATTTCAAGTAAGAAATGTCTCCGTCGTTATCATCGTCAACCACTTTTGATATTGGATTATTGGAAATGTGAAAAAACACATGATCCGACTGAATGTTCTGTACTTAATATTTTTTGCGTAAATTTTATTTTCATAATATTTTTGAAATGTTGCTGCAACGTTATTTAAACTATATTGCAAATTAATGTCTATATAATATTTCTGCAATATTATTATGCAATATATAATATTGCAATGTTGCTGCAATATTGCTGCAAACTGTGTGCTGTATGGGCAATAATTATACATTTATATACCCAAAAATAAATATATATGCAGTATTGCAAATTCATTACATTGCAATATTTGCTATAATATTTTATTGTAAAAGGGGGTTGACAACCGATTGAATTTTTTAGACGTCACCATTATTGTGAACAATGGGAGCATTGAGTTTGATTTGTTTCATAAGCAGACGTATTCAGGGAGATATTTAAACTTCAAGTTGCAGCACGCTCTCTGCCATAAAAAAGGCACCATTATCAGCCTCATAGACAGAGTTTTTTGGCTCTCTCATCCGAAATTCGATAAAAGTAACTTTGTGTCTATGATTGAAGTTCTTTTGTCTAATAATTATCCTCTCAATTTGATATTTCAAACATTACAAACACGGTTAAAAAAGTTGTTCTTCCGCTACAATAATAAGTTTTATAACAATAGAGCAAATATAAGCAACGATAAGATCTAACGCAGAAAAAAGTTTCGGAATTTTAATATTCCGTATATTAATAATGTATCAGAGAAATTCAAAGATATAACACGTGATTTGGATGTCATTCCATCTTATACAGGAATTAATATTCTCCGTAAATTCATTAAGGTACACAAAAATAAGTTACCAAAGGAACTCCATAACAATGTAGTTTATAAAATTGATTGTATGGATTGTGATGCGTCGTACGTAGGGCAGACGGGTAGACTGTTAAAAACTAGGACGAAAGAACATCGCAACAACATAAAAAGAAACGCGTCACAATTATCAGTCATATCGGAGCATAGATTACTGAATCATGATTTTAATTGGGAGGATGTAAAAGTCTTAGACGAGGAGCCTTTTTTAGGTAAACGTTTGATATCGGAAATGATCCACATAAAACGTCAGAGGAATAGTTTACATTTACACAGCGACACTAATAAATTAAATGATATATTTGATCTTTTAATAGAAAAATTTACCAAAATCTAGCTCTGTGATCATACATATCCGTAGTTTTGTTAGACCTTTAATTGATATGAGCGCCGATAAGTTTTAGTTGTTTTTATTTTATATTTTATTTTTATTTTTATTTTTGTTTTTTTGCGTATATATGTATCGACTGTGCCGAGGTAGAATACCGCACAGTCGTTAGAGTGATGTGTCACGTGTAGCATCGTCTTCTCTTTGTTTTTACTGTCAAGGTGAGTGCTCTCTCCAATTTTTAATTTTTAATTTTTGTGGATTTTTCTACGTTTAATTTATATAATGTTGTTGTAACTTTGATTAGTGTTGGTAAGGGAGTCACTTATGTGCTCTGCTTCCTTCCTGACGATGGTCACCGTTGGGGAGACACTCCGACGGCCGGACAGTTTGAATAGGGAAAAGAATAACATTTAATTTGTTTTGCGGATTGTATGTATACGAGTTTTATATTTTTATAATTGTAACGACTATCTTTGATTTTTGAATTTTTTGTATGTTGTAGCTACTGAAGAAGACCCGAAGTGGGTCGAAACGTTTAGATTTTAATAAATGAGTTGTACTTGAGATCTCATTTTAATTTTTTAATTTTGTGCATGACATCCGCACAGGCTCCGATTGCCGTCGATATTTTATTTTTATTGTAACACAATAATTCGAGCCGAGTAGAAAAGTTTTTATTTTATTGTAATCTTCCTAAAAGCGGACATTTTATCATTGCTGCAATCCCACAGCAATGGTAGTGTAGCAACATTTTGCAATGAATTTCCTTATAGAAATTTATCACTATAGTAACGCCAATTAATCACTTTTATTTCGAGTACTTAAAATACTAATATACAATAATTTAAGTACTCAAAATAAGTGATAAATTAACGTTACTATAGTGATAAATTTTCTATAAGGGTTTGCAATGTTGCAGTGAAAGATTGCTACAATGTGTATGCAATCTTTGTGTGCTGTATGGGATAAAGTATAAAACGGTAAAAAAATGGTATTTTGAATGTTTCTCAAAGCTGTAGCTTGGGGCTTAAATCACTTATTGTAAACCCGGCTTAAAACTCAGGACTAAAATCACTTATTGTGAACTCGGCTGCAGACTTAGGGCTGTATCTTCAAAATAAGTTCCAAAGTGCGTATATAGAGTTCAATGAATAGCATAAAAAAATCTCATAATCATCCATATCGCTCTTATATCGGAAACGATTAAATTTTTATATATATGCAAGTCACATCGAATTAATATTCGGAGTAAACACCTGATTTCAACAAAATCGCTCTTTCAATAGATAAAAATAATCCGGAGTAATCGCACCCGGGACGAAAAACGACAACGTAAAAACGAATGATGTCGCGAAAGTTATTACTACCTGATAACTCCTATCAGTCGACGGTGATTTATTTTTCGTCACGCGACCTCCATCTCGTCACGTTCATCTCTATCTTCGTCGACTCGGTACGAAAAAAATATATATATATATTATATATAATATTGAATTCTTTTCTCTGGTAAAGATAGGAATCATGAATTATCCTTCAGAAAAAAATGACAATCGTCATTTCTGATATCTGGTGAATTTTAAATTTCGTGAAATATATGAATTTTGATTTCTTTGCTTAATTTTGTATCTTTTTCTACATTTGCTTATTTGTGTATTTTTTTTTTATTTATATTTTTTATATTTTTATATTTATATGTATATATCAGAAATTTTTTCATTTTAAATATAAATAAGCACCTAAAAACGGATATATTATCTGGCAATTGAAAAGTTATTTTTAGATTCCTTGATTGATTATTTAAAAATAATATAACTATATATTTTTATAATGAAAGAAATATATAATAAAGAGAAAGAATGTGGTGGAAACACAACATATATCTAAATATTGCAATGAGAGGGAGACTTGAAATAAACACAGTAATGAAATGATTATGCAATTCTTTCATTGTCGTCATTCGATCAACTTTCGACATATTCGGGATATATTTTGAAAGTTCGCTGCTCTTGTTATTTTCTGATATCACTATCTATAATTACTCTGTTGATCTGTCCTCTATAATGGGAACATAATTGTAATTATAATTTTATCCTTTTCCATGTCGCTATACAAAGTGCATTCATTTTCTCATATACATGTTTTGCACATTTAATTTGTTCCGATAACATAAAACATTTTTGCAAGAAAGGGCCTGAGCAGAATGGCTAACTTATAATCTTAAGACACTATTTTATGCCCTATAAGTCTTTGTCTTGGGTAACACACAATACTGTCTTATGTCATAAGTCAGCCATTCTGCTCAGGCCCTAAATTGTATGAGAAATTGAAACTATATATATATATATATATAACTGAAGATAATGTTTGGATCTGCATATTCTGATTTTTTCTCTTTTATTCATTCCTAATACATTTTTGTGAGAATATATGTCCCAAATAGTAAGCATACACCATTTTGACTTTGATTGCCATTGTTAGACGTCAAAATGATGTCATTTTGATGTTTAATAATATCATTTTGACATTTAATGATGTTAGTTTACTACTTGAGATATTGCATGACAAAATATGCACTTGAAATCCTCATTGCATCTCACAATTTGACATTATCATCCTAAAATGACATCATTTTGACATTTAATTGTGTTAGTTTACTACTTAAAATATTTCATAAAAAAATATGCACTTGACGTCTTCATCGCACCTCACAATTTAACAATATCATTCTACGTCATACTAGATATAATTTATTTTCTTCTTGGTTTTGCTCCAGAGTTTCACAAAACAAGAGTTTAATTCTCTATTTTATGAATACAGGTGAAGCCAGTGGAGAAAGACTACATCCTGCGAACATCCCAGTGCGATCATCCCAGATCTCTACACAAGAGCTGCAAGAATTTCACGAGGAATGATTCAGCCTCCTATCTCAGTGTGAAGAAGAAGCGGAAGGGTCGTTGAATGTGGACAATAATACCGGTTGACCTATGCCAGCGTCAAAGTGCATCACGTTTTCTTACAAAGTCACGTTTAAATCACGTTTCAACTTGCTGATAAGTCTCCGGCCTTCTTACTCGCACGAGCATGTCCCGATATGACACACCCGATTGACCTCGAGAATGTCGAAATGAAGATAAACAGGGATGTAAGTAAAGCCTGGGACGCCTTCAAACGTGACTCAGTATCTAGCCAGCATCAAAGACAACCGTACCGAGGACAAAAAATTCCTCCTCTCTTTGTTTATGTAAAAAAAGCTTGCTTTGTTTGTCGATTATTAACAGTGAAATTAGGAACCAATATAGGATAGGAAGTGAAGAATCGACAGATCCATTTCGCTGGAAAAGTTCTGAGACATAGTGTTTTAACTTGATTGCTACATTTTTGAAAAATTGTACTTGAATGTAATTTTTTTCCTTGGGACATGTAATAGCGTATATTTCTAAATTGTCGAGGTCTATTATGGAAGCTCTGGGATCTGTAAGTATTTTGAATTGTGCGTAGTTTAACTCTAAATTAATGTAGAGTACAACACGAGGCAGTCTAGATAGCGCAGAATGATATTAAAGTTTTTTGTCGTATATGCATTGGCAACTATAGAAAGGCAGTTACATTAATAAAAAAACTGTCAAATAAGAGCCAATAATTAAGAGCATGAAATCTTATATTTTACATAAATTCTTATGATGCTTCCAATTCAGGTTTTCTTCAGTGAAGAAATAGCATATCTGAAAACAAATATTGATCATTAAGAATCAATCAAAATTATAAAAACAAAAAAGAACATATTGATGATAAATATGCAATGTAATAATAGCTATTGTTTTACAATTAGTATGATGTATTGATATAACTAATTAATTTTAAATATTTATGTGTATTATGGCAGTATAGAATTTTTAAAAAATTAAAAATTAATATAAATCTAGTCAGACAACCTCGTCATATTTTATTTAGTTTATATATATATGTAAAATATAATTTAAAAAAATCTATTCTTTTTGAAACAATTTAGAGAGAAGAGAAAAAATATATTACTTCCAAATGTTGTATTCAATATGTGAATACAAATGAAAATATTATATTCTACATATATTAGAAGCATTTTATAAATAACACACATTTTTTTTTATTCATAATTATTCCAAAAGGTAATAAGATATACAAATATATTTTTTATTTATTAAATTTCTTTGAAAATAGAAAATATACTTTATTTTTAATATTGCATTAACAGAACAAAATAAGTTGTATTGTTGTATAATCAAAAGTATATTTCTCTAAAATTATTTTTTCTTTTCTCTCTCTATGCAGAGTTGAAATTTTGTAATATATAATTATGTAAGTTAACTTATTTATATAAATTAACGCCAATATTGAGTAAGATATTATCTAACACAATATAGCAATGAATCACAGCAAAGAAATTAATTGAAGAAATATTCACGTATCTCTAGGAAAATTGCTTGAAAATGATCAACAATAAAAAATATTGATTTTAAATCGACATTTTTACGAATAATAACTAGTTTACGAATGATAGTCCTAAATTATATTGCGAAAGATATCGCTATAGAAGATTCGCGAACCTTCCGCAAAAATATGAGAGATAAAAGTCTTATAAAGATAACCTGTCGGTTAAACTATTTACAAATAAACTATAACATCCGACGAGACAAATTTGTTGACATAGAAATTTATTTATCTAATATTGTTTGCTTCTTTTCTTCTTTTTTTATTTCTTTTTATCTTCTTTTGTCATTTTAATTTTTTCTTCTCTTTCTCTCATCTTCTATGAGGAAAGAAAAATTCTCCGTGTAGCACAAAATATAAATTCGTTGTTAAGTCAAATTGTGCAATACTTAAGCTATTAAAAGAATTCATTATCGTGAAAAATAGCTGCTCGTGATAACGATAACCCCAGAGTTGCTCTGGTTGACGATTGACCTCTCGTCTCTCATCACACGAGTTCGCTCACGTGCGACAAGATAGCCGCAAATAATAATTTACATCGAGATCTTAACTTATGGGTCTGAAGACCTTCATTAAGAAGTTTTACAAGTTAAAGAAATTATATTTTTGTATTTATATTCAAATGTGCATCTTTCTCATGATTTTTTATGTGTGCTTGCAGCATCCAATCTTGAAGTCTTTCCTGGCAGGCTCATTCTCCGGGACGTTCTCCACGATTCTCTTCCAACCGCTGGATCTAGTGAAGACCAGGCTTCAAAATAGAGTCAACACTTCCGTCGAGTAAGAGAGATTTAACTGTAAAATAAATTTTGTTATCATTTTTTCTTCAACAAGTACATAATCAGAGCTTTTATTCACTCAAAGTAATTAAAAATAAATTTTGGTTAATTTCTTTTTCTTCAAGGATTTATTTTTTAATTTTTTTCTGTATATTTAAAGTTGATTTATTAACTTCCAACAAATTATATTACAATTTTTCAATTTATTTTTTTAACTTATTTTAATTTTTAACTTAATTTGTGATTAATTAACATTATTAATTGATTCTATAAGATTCCTTGGTACTCGCCGCAGCCATGTTAGATTGTAACGTCAGAGGCGAGAAAATACACGCTGAAAAAAATTTGTGCGTGCCATTTTTAGATAACAAGATATTTTGATGAAGCACGATCTTTTAAATATCTTAGAATGTCTTAAAATTGTGCTAAAATCTTGAGTGAAGTCTTTTATCAAAATATCTTTTCATTTTAAAATTCTCGCAACTGACGTCACAATCTAAAATACCGCGGCGAATACCAAGTCTTAATTTGAATTAAAAAATTAAAATATATCTAAAATGATTTAATTTAATCTTAATAGGAACAAATATTTCGAAAATATACAATTTTACAGAAAGACTTTCCTTGACATCTATTCAAGTCATTTTTTCCATCGATTAAATCACGTACTTAGTTATTTTTAAGAAATTGCTAGTTGCAAATTACATACATACATACCATATATGTATATATTTTGTACACACACATTTACATTTATAAATCAATTATTAATTAATCTTTCGAATTTTTCCGAAATAGATCGCCGAGAAATGGGATGCTGGGCACGGTGGCGAACATTATTCAAAAGGAGAATGTCTTTGGATTATGGAAGGGCATGACGCCGGTAAGATATTCCTGTTCCTAGAAACAATTGATATTAATTAGATATTTTGGACTGGCATCGCGATGTAACAACTACGATTGTTAATTCGCAGTCGATAACCAGGGTAATCCCTGGCGTGGGTCTATACTTCTCGTCGCTGCATTGGCTGAAGCATGCCCTCGACCTTGAAGAATCCTTGACGGCCCTGCAGGCGATCGCCTTAGGTATCACCGCGCGCTCCATGTCCGGGGCTCTGCTCATTCCCATTACCGTCGTGAAGACGCGATTCGAGGTACGATTGGCGAAAAGAAGAATATGAACATACATAAAAAAGAGAGAGAGAGAAATATTGAGAAGAAGAAAAGAAATTTTTAAGCGAGAAGAGAAAGAAAGCTTTCAAGTAATTGCATTTAGCTTCATTCTTGTAGTTGGGTCCAGCCTAGAACCTAACTTAACACCAAGTTTATTAAATCTAGTACTCTCGCTCTTTCTAGAGGAAAATTAGGAAAATTACTTAGGAATATTCGTTTTGTATCTTTTAGAAATAATAATAAAAATATTTAAAAATATATTTCAAGTAGAAAAATTTGATAAGAAATTACTGTATGACTGAAATAATACTTGAAGGCAACCATTTTTCTAATTGATGTCAATATAATTTTACAGAGTGGCGTCTACAAGTATAATAGTATTAGCGAGGCTCTGTGGCTGATCTACAAGCAAGAAGGAGTGAGAGGTTTATCCAGTGGTCTAGTGCCTACCCTTCTACGAGATGCGCCTTACAGCGGTTTATATCTCATGTTTTATACCCAACTGAAAAGCGCGGCTACCAAAACAGGTATTTCAAAATTATATAAAATTTACACATATATGTGTAAAATTATTATTATTATTATTATTATTCATAGACGAATGTTGAGAAATATTTTCTAAAAAAAATAAATTATATGATTTTTAGAATTATAATTTCTATATTGATTTGTAATTCTTAATTTGTAAAAAAATTTGGAGACTATTCTCAAAGAAAAAATTCTCCATTTTTCAGGAACGATGAGTGAGTCGCAAATGCCAGTTCACTTCAGCTGCGGGATTCTCGCTGGAATTCTAGCCTCTGTGGTGACGCAACCGCCGGATGTTGTCAAGACGAAGATGCAACTATATCCGAACGAATTCAACGGGATTTACCGTGCGACGTTCCTCGTCTACAAGAAATACGGCGTATTGGGATACTTCAAGGGTATCGTTCCCAGAATGCTGAGGCGAACTCTGATGACCACCATGGCTTGGACGGTGTACGAGCAGGTAATTCGATCGATGTGAAATACGAATTTGAATAATTAAACGGAAAAATCAGATTAGACGAATTTAATCAGGATGTCTACTCAAATCTTATAAAAACATTCCCTGACTTTCTAAGTATTTTTGTTCAAAATTCAAGATAAATAGAATATTTTAAAACTTTTTTTAATGTTCTAAAATAAGTTTTTTTTATTGTATATATTTTCTAATGTGCTTTTCATACGTAGGAAAAGCACCATTAAGTATTTAATTTTTAATTTTTCTTTTTTTTATTTATAATTTTAAATTTTAATTGCATTGAATTGTGTGTTTCAGCTAACAAAACAAATCGGCTTGAAGTAAACGTGCTATTGTCTTCTGTATGAAAGTTTTACACGAAGTAGTTGAATTATGCCATGTACAGTATTAGTATACATTTACTATTTGTATATATTTACTAATTGTGAAAGTGTCTTTCTCTCTCTCTCTCTACACCTCGCACGTTATTTATAATAAATCGTATATTTTTTCAAAATTACGATTGCATATTTACGGGAGAGTTAACCAATGTTGCTAAGTCTCTTATAGATCCTCCCGTTTTTTATTCCGTATCCTCTTTTTATCTTCCATACGTTTAATTTTGTTAATTATCAGAGCTCAGTATTAGTAAAAAATAATTTAAAGAATGAGGTACAGTTTTGCAAAAATTTTTAGAGATATTTTATATGGTGCTTTATTTTAAGATCTTTTTTTAATATGCAAAAGTGTAATTTAACAAATATGCACTAAAATTCAAAAGTCATCTACATGGCAGAGTAATTTTTTAATCTTGATTATTCAAAATTGTAAACGCAAAAAAATGCCTATTGTAATTAAACTACTTTAATATATTATAATAAATATATTATATATTACATATATATATATATATATATATATATATATATATATATAATGACAAAAATTAAGAAAAACCGCAGAACTCTAAAAATATAAAAAACTGGTATTGAAGTCTGAATTAAAGTTCTAATTCAAAAAGTTCGCGCAAATTACAATATAGAATAAAAAAAAGAAAGAACGAAAGTAGTCCAGCTGTGGCATCATTTTATTAATTCCAAATAACAATCTTAAGAGTATTGCAATTGTGGTACATTAAATACCAAATTAATATTAGATAATTTACCTTTCTGATCACTCTGTTTATGCATAGATGGCCTAAAATAACAATTCGTTCGGGACACAAATGACATCAATTCGACGTGTCTCGATGAAAATTTGTCTTCATCTTCCTCTTTCTCTCTTTTTTTCTCTCTCCCTCCCTCCCTCTCTCTCTTTCTCTTATCATTAAGATTATTGTAAAATTTTTACCTTAACAATACGTTAAGCGATGTACATCTTGCGTAACTTGTTCTTGATCTTCACGCTTTATTCGCTATCTCTCTTGTTTCTGAAAGTAGACAATCCGAGTCTTAGTAAGTGTTATCAATTTCGCGATTCAATAGTACAGTATTCAAATATATTTCATAATCGTAAGTCTTGTGTTGACAAAATCTTGTTCCTCTGTCGACTGTGTGTTTAACAAGCGCGCGAGGTCCTCGTCAGGGAGATTATGAATTAAACTTTCGCGCGAAAGCAAATTTAAACTTTTATTTTAATAATGAAATATAATTTTCTCTCCGAAGAAATGTCCCACGTAGCAGACTGACGTCATGAAACGTCAAAATGACGTCATTTTGATATCGATGACCATCATTTTGACGTTTAATGATGTCAGTCTGCTACTTGGGGTATTTGTCAAATCAGTAGTATAATATCTCTCTTTTTTAGGCATCAGACTTGTATATTTTCTTACAAAAAATTACATTTCTACTTTTTTCCGCTGAGGGCAGCACTATACACATATTTTCGTCGAGAAACGTTTTCTTTTTTCTATCGTAATGAAAAGAATCATATTTTTCCTTCTTAAAGATTGCAAATGTATTTTATACGGAAAACCTCGCAGATTCCAAAATTTTGATTTCAATGAAAATTTACATATATGTATGTAAAAGGGATAAATAGATGAATTTAAAAAGGATATGCCCACAATTCTTGTAAAAATTGGGTTTCGGTGAAATTGGCTGATTTTCTCATATGTTGTAGCTTATTATGATCCGCTGAACAAAAGATGTAATAGCCTCAAAGTTAAGTAAATAGTTATAATAATAATCAGTAGATCATAAGTTACAATATACGAAAAAACTAACTAATAAGATACCAAGATTGGGAAGACTAATTTTCTTACATGTTAGGACTATCTGCTGAACAAAAAATGTAATAAATTTAAAGTTAATGATCAGATAGTTACAGATTTACAGCTAGTCAAACACGAAAAATTTGGGCTCTGCGAAATGTTTTTTATTTAGCTTTGGAGTCACAAGTTACAATATACAAAAATGCCAACCCCAATTCCACCGAAATCCAATTTCCACAAGGATTGTGCGGGATTCTTTTTTAGTTGTAGCTCAAAATTCATCTCATTCCTCTTCTACATATATATACAATTTCATCAAAATCAGAATTTTCGAATGTACGAGGTTTCCTCCGATTTCTTTCTATTATTTCTCGCTTTTTTTTGTAAAAAATCACGATTTTATTTTACAATTTCTACATAGTTGTCCTCAAAACGATGATCCTCGAGTTAGCAGAGGGCCCGCAGCGGATCAAAAAGAAAAGCAAGAGGGAGGAAGCGAATGAGTTTCTCCTGGCTAGAGAAGGGACGCAATGTTGATGTTGATGAATTATTCACATTCCGGCATAAATACCTCGTCAATTGCGTGGCGCATAGTGGAAGCTTAGAGGTTCGTATCGAGTCACGGTCACACACGGTTTGCAGGAACGCACTCGCATAACTTGTCGTGCGCTCTCCAACTGCATTCGCAGTCGTGGACGAAGCTCTACGAGAGAGAACTGTGTGCCCCACCCCCCTCCGCGCTAAATTTCATTTCTTCTCTTCTCTCTCTCTCTCTCTTTCTCTCTCTATCTATTTCTCTCTTTCTTTTCTCTCTTATCACGCAAGCTTTAAATTAATTGAACTGTAGTGTAGACTTTTGTTGGATTCCATTTCCACTAATTTAAATTATTTTTTTTCTTTTTCAACGAAGACAGTCCTATGCCCGAGATGCGAAAGTATAAGTCCAAGACTTTGATTTTTTTCCATATAACACAAAAGTACATGTGACATAAGATTTGATTTTTATCTGAAAGCAAAAACGCGACAAAAACAACGTTAATAATAAAGAGAAACGCTGTATATTTTTACAAACAATTTGTTTTATTTTTTAAATAAACAGCATGAATTTGTATATACATATACATATATTTATATATGCATGTATGTGTGTGTATATATATATATATATATATATATATATATATATATTTGTTATCTTATTGTTAGATGAGTTTCTCAACCTGATTGCATTTATATTCGCACTTATATTTAATTCATCTTGAACATCCAAACGATATTCCCGGAACCTTCGCGAGCTTCTCCTGGAAAAAAATGAGTTCTTGGACTTACGCTCTTCTGCCATCACGACTACAGAATTATTGATCGACGAAAAAAAAAACGGACCATAGGATTATACTTTCTTCCAGCTCACTCTAGATAGATAAATATTTTATCGACCTCCCCCTTTTTTAATGCAAAAAAATAATCTAGATTGAAAAAATTACTTCAGTTCTTCTCTTTCTACAGGTCCCTTTTGCAAAGAATTCTCTCTTTGCAATATTCTTTAAATTGTTTCTCTTGGTTTTTGCTGGTTTTTTTTTACGAATGCAAGAAAATTAAGATTTAAAGTCGAGAAAATTAAATTTAGATTAATTTCGAAACCTTCTAACTCTTTTTGAAAGTAATATCACGATGATAGAAATGATTGATGCTAACTAAGAAAATCTGATGAGAAGAGAATGAATGAACATTCAATTTTCTCGACCTTGAGACTCCTACTTCCTGGCCGACCATGTGAGAATTGTGACATCAGAGACGTTATATTTTACAGTCAGCTGTTGAATAATTTTCGAGGTATTCTAAAAGTACGATAAAGTAGTCATTTCATTAAAATATCTTTTTATTTAAAAAATGGCATCTAAGAATTTTCAGCGTGTGCTTTTCTGCCTCTGACGTCACAATCTAATATATTAGCGGCGAGGACCCAGGAGCTTTAAAAGATCAAATCATTGGACTACTGTTATAAATCCTCCTTGTTGCAAAGGCACTATGTAGTGATAAATATACCTATCACTCTGTTAACTTTGCTGTTGTTCAGCGTTGCATACCTGTGAGCCATTAATCACAAATTCTGATTTTGAAGACAATAAAAGAGAGAGCATGGCAAATAGTTTTATAACTTTTTGACTGTACTAATGAGAGATTAGATAGAGAGGGAAAGAGAGGCGAAGAGAGAGACAAAGTTTGTTTCATAGAGAGAAAGTAAAAGTGAGTGAGAGAGGGAGAGAGAGAGAGAGAGAAAGAGAATGAAAGGAAGAGTGAGAAAGAGAGAGAAACAGTGTGAGACGAACACTTGCTGTGTGACTCTTACGCGGCGCTTCAAACATCACAGATTATATTATCATGTATATGTATTATGTGCATCGGAATGGCAACTCACCTGGATCGAGAGAGTACCTGTACAGTAATTGAGACGAATATGGTTAAATTGTTTAGTGCATACCTGGCTTACTTCTCACTCACTAACCAATCAAGAGAAGTTACTTGTGACTTCGGCTTCGCGAACGGTGCCGGCGACGATTGTGATGGCTGGAGCTCCGATGATCGCGATTCCCTGAAATCATCATCATCATCATCATCATCTCATCATCATCATCATCATCGTTATCATCGTCATCGTTATCATCGTCGTCATCGTCGTCATCATCGTCATCATCGTCATCATCGTCATCATCGTCATCATCGTCATCATCGTCATCATCGTCATCATCGTCATCATCGTCATCATCACTAAAGCCCAAGTTGAAAGAGTCAAATTACTACTCTTCACTCACCCTTATCTCGACTATGACGTCGATAATTGTCCTCGTCCCGATGGTGTCTGTCTCTTGATCTACTTCTACTTCTGTGCCCGGAATTTCTGTAAACGGTAACGTCTCTCTATTGGATCTACTTGCTCGAAAATAAAGTAAAGATTAACTTACCTATGACTGCTGGAATCATGACGGCCCTTGTCGTCGTCTATTCGTCTGCCACGACGTTTGTCCCTGTCTCTGTCGCGATCTCTATCTCTGTCATTATCTCTCCGCCGCCTGTCGAGCTCCTCGTTCACTCTCGCCCTTTGCTTTCGCTCCTCTTCCCTCCTCTGCTCCTTCTCGTCGCGCGCCTTTTCGCGTTTGTTCTGCAGACAATTTTAATTCTCATATTTTCCGTCTTTGAAAAATTCATCTGACGTTGTGTGAAAATTGTGCGCATAAAACCAAAAAATATTTCCTCACCATAATTTCTTGAAGGGCGCTCTTCAGTCTCGCATAACCCACATGCTGTTTACCCATTAAATGATCATCGATCCGTTGCTGGGCGTCGCCTACGATAAGGAACGCGCCGCAAACATCGCATACTTCCATCTGTTTCTCTTGTGCGGCCGCTAGTTCAGCAGTCTGCAAACGAGTCTCGTAAAATTAGTATAAACATAAGCCGTAAAGCATCATATTAACTATTTTTTTGTTAAATTAGATTTTTTTGTATTTTCTATTATATAATTTATTATAGATTATAATCTAGCGTGATTAATTTTGTCTTAATAATAAATCATAGATTATAATCGATCCTAACAAAAAAACTATAAATTATTTAGATTAAATAATAAATGATATATTTTAATTAATTTAGATTATAATCTATAATTTATTATTAGAATATAATTTAAAATTTATTATATATTTATTATAAAAATGAAATTTATTTCATCATTACTTATTTTATATATTATTTTGTTATATATTACAGATTATAATCTATTACAACAAAAATCTATAACCCATAATTTATTATAGATTATAGATTTATAATAATTTATAATAGATCATACTCTATCTCAAGAAAGAAATCTATAATCTTTAATTTATTATAGATTATAATTGTAACTCTGATATATCTCAATAATCGCTCTACACTCTCACTTGATTGTAATGGCTGTTGTCGTTGGATTTCCTCAAGGTCTCGCGCTCGTCCTTTAATTGATCACAAAGACGCATTAGGCCCTGTGCCTGCTCCACATTGCCCTGAATTCCACTTTGCTCGGCCTCTTCCACTAATTTATTTATTTTCTCCGTCAACAGAGCAATCTGTTCCTCGTTCCTTTGCGTTTGCGCTGGGGTTAATGTTGGCTATGCACACAAAAAGAATGATTAAATCTTATAATTTATACATATATATAGCATATAATAGTATATATTTATATTTTATATATTATATTTTAAATATAAATTATTATATTTTATTATACAGGGTGTTCTAGAATTGGCGGAAAAATTTTTAATGGCAAATTCTTGATATTATTTGGAGACGATTTTTTCTTAGTGAAAATGTTGAGGGAGGCCATCATTTTTAGCATGTTACCAATTTTTGTTATTATGTATCTTTATAACTAAGCTTTATATTAAAATTTTATTAAAGCAAACTCTATCTAAAATTAACTGAAGAATATAGTTCTATTAATATTTTATTTCTACAAGGCTTAGTTTCCAAAAAGCCTTTAAAAAGCCTCTTCAACTGCTTATATTTCGAAAATTACTGGTGTCTCGACATTTTCGGCGAGGAAAAATTGCCTCCGAATGATACCAGGAATCTGACATTAAAAACTTTTCCGCCAGTTCTGAGACACCCTGTATAAACATTAAATATAAATTATTATTATATTTAAATAATAAGTTATTATTATTATATTTTAAATTAATTATTATACTTTCATATAATATTTTAATTAATAAAGGAACTTACAGCTTCTGTTCTTCCAATCAGTGCCAATCGCTGCTTTCCTTTTACTATCTTTCGCTCCACCTCATTTAGCATACTTTGACAGTACCTAATGAATTCATCCTCATATTGCTGTTTACGATACGAATACGATGCCTTCTCGAACAATTCCCTAGCTTCATCATCATGCACCTTGGGACACGCACCCAAGTCCGCTCTTGTATTGACAAAGAGATCATGAGGGCAGAACTTCACCAAAAACAGCTTGCAAAACTAAAACAGACAAGCTTGAATAAATTCGAAATGCAAAAACACAAATTAGTAAAAATATGATTAAAGTATAAATATAAAATATAAGAATAGCCTGCATTTCCAGAGTTGCGATAAGAAAAATGAACAATTATAAACTATATATTTATTTTTTTTATATACATTCTGTAGATATTTTTTTACATCTTAATTTAATATGTGTTGTAAACATTTTTTTATTCATGATTCGGTTAACTCCAGAAAAATCTCTTGATTAAATTCCAGAAAATTTTAACTGTATTAATTTTTTTTAACCTGATTCCGCGTTCAAACTCAAAATAAAAAAATTAAAGAAAACAGGAGTAGAAAAAGGAGTTAAACGTTTCGGAGCATCTGACGAATTTTCCGCGTTCCGAGGAGTTTCTGTTCAAGAATACGCGTCATTATTATTATCGACTCTCTCTCTCTCACCTCGGGATCCTCCCAATTGAGCTCCTTGGGCTTCTCGTTGGGCAAAACATTCCTGTTCCGACCCATGAGCTCGTCGAGCAGCGCGGATGCCGCGGCGCCGGCCATCTTGTAATTTTCGGTATCGCAATCGAGCCGACGAATTCGTCGCCCGCGAATGAGTTTCCGAGAGAAGGTGAAAAAAAATCCAATGAGGAGATCTTGGACGCGAAGAAAATCCAAAAGGAGAAACACGCTGAAAGAAAATCGGAGGTCCACCTTCCATCCACAAAAGGATTCTCGATGGAAAGACGCGTATGTACGACAAATCACGATCGTGAGATGACAATTGCAAAGCGATGCTGCGGCTGCGCGTCGCCAGATGACGCACGCGACATCGCGAAACCATAGTATACACAGTAGCGACAGTGAGTGTCGACACCTTTGATGTAGGCACAGATTAAGGGTCGGCAGGCGACATGGTGGAGACGCCTATCGGCCGGCCGGGAATTACGGATTCTTATTTTCCAGATATTAGCGAAAATATTGAATGAATCTTATTAAATTTAGGATATTCTTAATCAGTAAGCTCATTTGTAGTCCTCTAAAGAGCTATTTTATGAAAAAAAGATAAAAATAAAAATTTTTAATAAACTTGGGGGAATGCACAGCTAGGAACGGGTAAGGTTGGGTTAGCCGCGAGTCCGTATTTTATTTATTATAAATTTTTAAGAGCGAAAATGTAAAATCCGGCCTTTTAGAGGACTGCTTTATTATATAAAGAATATATTAAAAAAAAATTCACGAAGTTATGTCACTTATTTTATGAAATATCTGGACGATAAGATTCTCACTAGATTCATAAGGAGCAGGGGAAATTTCTGTGGTAACATGCTGACTGCTTGACAAGGAGAGAGCATCATTCCATCTTTGTCTCTCTTACATCGCATATGTAGTAGCGTCCATGTAGGTACAAACACTAATACGTGAGCACACGGATGCAAATATTGAGAGATAATGTCAGCAAAAAGGCTATCATATTATTTTTATTTTTTTGTATATGTATGCATATGTAAATAAAGAACAAAAATAAAAACTATTTTAAGATGACATTTTATAATTAATTTTCTATATGTATTTGCATTTTATTAATATGTATTACATTTTTGATATGTTTTTAATTTATAATTTATATAAACATAAGTATGAAATAAAAATTGAAATAGTTCTGAAAATAAGTATATTAATGATAAAATTATTCAAAACAATAAAAAAATTAAATTTAATATTTTTTAGTGTTTGTACCTACATGGACGCTACTACATATGCGATGTAAGAGAGACAAAGATGGAATGATGCTCTCTCCTTGTCAAGCAGTATTAAAAGCCATATTAAAAGCTCTAGCTTCATTCAATTAATAATCCAATATAATAATCAACAATTATTTTTATATAATATATAGTATTTTTAAATATTTTTAAATATTTAAAAATATTTTTTTTAAGATTAATTGAGGAAAAGAATATTTTAAATATTTTTTTTCAATTAATTTTTAAAACAAATTTTTAAAAATATTTTTATATATTCAAATACTTATTATATTATATAAAAATTATTGTGAATTATACTCATTGGAGTAATAATTATTGATTGAAGCTTGTTATGGCACAAACTGAACATCTTGTACATTGTCTGTATAATATTTTACTTATTTATAAAATGTTTTTTATAAATAAATGAAATATTATATATATATAATATATAAGATTATAATATATAAGATTATTGATGTTACATTGTATAACTCTCATTTCTTTCTCTCTGCTACATAAGTACTTATGACGTGAAAGAACTTACGAGTAACGTATGATGGCTCAATGCAAGAATATTTAATCACGTAAAAAACTTGAGTTCAAATATATCAATATCAATTTTTTTATAATATATTGGAATATAGAAAATCATAGAAATATATTTTTTATATAGGCGATAAACTTAAAAATTTGATATTGAAAATATTTTAATCATTTTACAACTACACATACTATAAATATATAAATGCAAAATAATTCCGTAAATAAATTTCAAGTAATAAATCAATTGCACACATGCACACAGCTGGTATGTAGATTTTTATTAAATTTATTTTCTGAATTATTTTACACTTATATATAGTGTATGTAGTAAAAATATTTTCAATATATTAAAAAATTTTTAAATCGCCGAAATATATTTTTTTATCATTTTTCTATATTCTAATATATATATATATATATTATAAAAAAATTGATATTGATATATTTGAACTCTAATTTATATACTGGATGATATACTGAACATCCTTGCATTGATTATACATTACTCAACGTTCTTTCACGTTATAAGTATTTGGAGCAAATTATACAATAGCATCAATAATCAAAAAGAAATCAAGAATATAATCAACATATCCCTTATATAATATATATATATATATATATATATATATATATATGTTATATATATATACGTTATGCACATATGTGCATAACCATATATACTTCCAAAAAGTGGGTGCTTATTAGTTTTGCTACGTTACTGCTTTCTGCTACGGAAGGCCAGAAAGCATTTTCAGGCGGCATCTCGCGTATACCGGCACGGTAGATGAACAAGGAGAACACGTGATTATCGGTCCTTGTCTCTCTTACGTGTGTCCGCGTGAGCGATGCAGTTGGTGTATGTACGTGTACAGACATACACCACTACATAAAACCCGAGAATTGGTTTCTCGGCGTTGGCAACACTGAAACCGGAGTTTCGCGTTGTCACCGCACGAGGTCTCCAATATCAATTCGGAGTTTGCCTGGGTGTACTGCCGACCCTTAATAGACAGATCGCCAAAGGCCTGCCTAAAGAAGAGACCGCCATCTTCGTGCGATAGACTTTGCCCCTTACCGACACACTTTGCCCCTGGTTCGAGTCCGTGCTAAATTCGTAGACTTGAACCAAAAGACTTTGCCCCTGGTTCGAGTCCGTGCTAAATTTCGTAGACTCGACCAAAAGACTTTGCCCCTGGTGCAAGTCCAGGCTAAATTCGTTTGACATTACCAACAGACTTTGCCCCTGGTGCGAATCCAGGCTAATTGATCATGAGACCAATTTGAGAGATTTGGCCCCCGTTGTGTGTGTGTGTGTGTGTGTGTGTGTGTGTGAGAGAGAGAGAGAGAGAGAGAGAGAGAATATTTTACATATATGCATATATATATAAAATTTATTAAATATAAAAAATATATTTTTTACACATAAAATGTTTTTTTATTGAAATAATCACGATTTTAAATGTGATATAACACAGTGTTCAAAAATTTTTTAATTAAATTTTTTAATTAAATTTTATTAAAGAAAATTACTTGAAATTTTTTACATTAAGAATTTAAAGGCTCCTTATTCTCTTGTAGAAATTTATCACTACGCCAATTAATCACTTATTTTGAGTATTTAAAATACTATTTCTATAATATTTCTATAAGGGTTGAAATAAAGTATAAGAGATAAATAGGCTATATGTGAGCCGTATGCGAAATGTGAGATGTAAGACGCATATTGAAATTTAATTTTTCGATATAACTTTCAAAAATGTACACGAGGTACAAAAAATTAGCTTGGACATTTGTAAGACTTAAAATTGGGATTAATTCTCAATTCTATTAATTAAATTTCGATATAACACACCTTACATCCGCGCACGGCTCACATATATATAGCCCATTTATTAGTGCAATTTTTAAGTTCCTTATTTTTCAAAGTTCACCTTTTTACGTTATCAAATATTTTTACGTTTTCAAGAATTTTATATTTTTACTTACCGCAGTTTCTTATCCAAATGTAAAATCTTTTATCGCAGTCTATAAAAAATTGAAACAATTTACAATTTTATGATATAATATTATTATTATTACAATTTCTATATATATGCACATCTGTCAAATATCGTGATTTATTTCACATTATTATTATCTATTTTAATAAAAAAAAACAAAAACACTTGCAACAATCAAAAATAAACCGCCTGCCGCGAACGGAAAATGCCAAGAAAGCACGCAATTTCCGCGAATCTCGTAATTTTTTTGAAAAATCAACAATTTCAACGAAATTGTAAATTCTTCAAATCACTGCACAAGTATAATTCACAATAATAATTTTCAGTAACTACGATAAAAAATCGTATACTGAAAACCGCAAACGAAAGTGCAATGGGAGTAAGAGTAAAGTCTGTGATAAAATTAATTGGCAATAGAAAATTAATAATTTTCAAATAGAAAAATTTTGAAATTACCGAGGATTTACAAATAATAAAGTAAAAATATTAAATAATTTATGTTTTCGAATTTTGCTCGCGGAGAGGATCTTTAAAACAAGATTTTTAGAAGAGAGGACCTTTAAAATATAAACAGGCAAAAACGTTGGAAAAATTAAAGCGCGCGTTTAAACAGATAAACGCAATGAAATAAATACGCAATTGTTTTTACTTATCGCTGTAAGCTCACAAGCTTCTGACGTGCTATACACTTTTATATAATATATACAAGGTGTCCGGTAACTAACGGACCAATGATTAAGGGCGGATTCTCTGGCCAATTTGGAGACGATTTTTCCTTAGCAAAAATGTTGAGAAGTCAATAATTTTCGAGTTATAAGCGATTGAAAAAAATAGGTTTTTTGAAAACTAAACGTTTTGGAGTTAAAAGTCTAACATAATTACATTCTTCAGTTAATTTCAGGTAGAGTTTACTATAATAAAATTTTAATTTAAGGCTTAGTTATAAAGATACATAATGACAAAGATTGGAAAGTTGTAAAAAATGATGACCTTTTTCGACATTTTCGCTGAGGAAAAATCGTTCCCAAATTGACCAAAGAATCCATTTGTAATCATTGGTCTGTTAGTTACCGGACACCCTGTATATTGGACACGAGTTTCGTTTGTTTCAGATTCTCGAGAGTTGAAGTAGGAACATACGAGTATCATATATCGTTTGTGACTTGCCGAATGAAAGCAAGACAGAGAGCGAACGAGATGATGAGCTTAATAGCTCATAATGTTATAAATAAATAAATAAAAAATTATAACCTGACCTACTAGTTATTGAATCTTTTTTTAATAAAATGTTTCATTATTATTATCATCTAAGTCTAAGTCGTTTAATTACTTTTTAGTTTTTTAATAATTAATTTAATTTATTCTAGTCATTTTTATATGAGAAAAATAATATCACGTATACGTTTTATAATGAATTAATATATTTCGGGAATCGAATTATATATTCTTAATAATATAAAAGTGTTCAAAAATTATATTTGACTTTTAATTTTAATTATTTTATAGCAAAGAGTTCCGAAATCTCTTACACA